TTAGATTCTTCAGATAATGAAAATTTACCTATTAGATTTTACTAAATATTCTACTAAATCTAAGATAATGATAAGTATAAGTGATGAAGATCTGGTAGACTGTACTGCTGCAGTTTCTGCCTGATACTGAGTAGGTATAAGTCCACAAACTTCATTAGTAGTTGTTATTTGCAATAAAACTGGTGTAAATCTAGAAGATATTAATCTATCAAAAAGTACAGTCCATAGAAAAAGAGTCAAAAAGATTGAGACATTAATAGATGATCTCAGGCAAGTAATTATAGCTACTCTAAATGGAAAAAAGCTACGTGTTCATTTTGATGGAAAAAGGATAAAACAGATTGAAGAAGATCTAATAATAACTGTTTCTGTAAAAAAAATAGCATTTAGTGTTATATCCTGATATGGATAACATAGATGACATTCTGCTATGTGCTGTTCAGACACCAAGTTCTAAAGGTAGTGACCAGGCTGAAGCAATTTGAATCTGCTAGAATATAAGGGCATCGTAGATCAAATATTTACTGTTAACTGTGACACTACTGCATTGTTGTTATCCTTAGCTCCATTTTTAATATTCCACTTATATGGTTTCTCTGTAGAAGACATGCTAGAAATACACATCTCACACTTTATGGAGGCTTTGACTAAAAAGAAGACAAAGGGCCCAAGGAAAGGGCTGTATGTCAAACTCCAGAAAAATTGGTGTTTTTTCAAAAAGAGGTTGACAAGATGATAGATCTAGTTAGGTTTGATTAGAGTCAGCTTCAGGCTGAGTCATCCCTTTATGAAATTGCTAAGAAAGCTCTGGAAAAAAAGGCCCTTGCCTCAAAAACTTTTGTGAGAAGTGATTACAGGGAACTATACGAGCTTTTTGTTTTCTATTTGGGAGAAGTAGTGCCTTGACTGTATTTTTATTAACCTAGAGCCTGCCATGAAGCTAGGTACAGTATATTAAAGAAAAAATTATAATAAATAAAAAAATATAATAAACAAATATTAATGGTAACAAAATCTTACTAATTAGGTTTATGGCTGATGCCTTATACATTCTTACCCTGAGAATAACCGATAAGATCACCATGATTATGAGCAAAGTGGAAAAAAAGATAAAGCAGCAGCCTTTTTCACATCATTTTCATCACATCGTCTGGTATGCACCTTGGTTTCTAAAGTCTTTGGTCCTTATATCACTCTAATGATCTTGCCGCTTTTAAGAATGCTTTTTGCATCAAAGAAAAATATCCTAATCTTGGTTCAGCATTGGTTGCTAGTATGCAAAGACAACTCGTACTTGACTGAACAGTTGGTGTTGCTATCTCTGACTGATGAGCAGGAAGCAGGAAGTAAAAAGAGATTTTGGATAGATTAGTTCAGTATGATGTTCCTGACAAGGAACATCATACTGAACTAAGAGATTCAACTTCAAGATTAGAAAACCTGAGCTACCAATCATATTGGAGTCCACTGTGATTTGGAAACTTTGGTCCAGAAATTTGGCTTATGTTAAAAATTGCAGAAGCCCCTGATGGTGAAGTACAGTTGTGGAGGATGGAAAAGCCCCAAGTTCATTAGATTTATTCAAAAAATTTGTTTAAAATTTGACTTGCGTCAAAGATTGTGCAAAAAAATATATATATCTTATTCAGGACTTTTTAGGTGGATATAAATCTGACAATATGCAACAAAGTTTAATACTGGTGGCCAGGGACAATAAAAGAAGTTTAAAAAAATTTTCCAAGTTAAAGTTTATATTTCTATTAGTAATAATAATTTTGCGCGCGCGTGTGAGTAAGTGTGTGTCACGGTGTGTTTATGTGTGTCTGAGCGTGTGTGTATGTGTGTGTGTATTGCATATTAATAAAATTAATAATTTATATTAATATAAAAATACATTCACACATTTTTATATACCTTATATTATTCAACTTTTATACTGAATTATTATTTTTTTTTAATAGTACTTAAATTTATTTTAATATTACTATTAAAAGTATTATTAGTAATTAAGTTCTTACTAAAAAATTTATCAGTTTAATAAAAAGTTAAAAAAAAAAAAATTGCCTATCCTGATTTTAATTGCTAGATTTTTATTAGAGAAATTTTGTTTTTCAGAATTTTAATGTTTGATTTTTTGATTTGTTAGGATGGTAACAAATGGCAAGCCGCGGCTTATGTCTAAGAATTGTAAGTGGAGTTCTCAAAATGCAGGTCGAGCGCTGTTGAAGTTTAAGATGAAAAAAAGTAGAGTTGACCTCATACTAAAGATTTAGCATGACATAAAAATATGTTGTTGTGGTGTGCCGGTTGCGTATAAAGTTTTACAATTTGGATATCACTGTCGAACACAATTTAAAAAGCGGATTATTTATAAACTTTAAATTCAATAAATTATCAAAATTTTTATCACTATTGTTTATGTATCGGGTTTTTGTTTGAATAAATTTAATAACTTAAAAATAATTTTACCTTTTTTTTTTAAGTTATTAAGGTGCTCTAAGAACTTCACGGTCTTATCACAGAGCACCGCAGAATAGTACTTTAACCAGGATCTTCACCTTCAAAACCGATGTTGTTTATCTGGTCAGAGCCAGAATTGAAACTCATGCTTCAGATACTTTTATTTTTTATTTAACTTTTAAAAGTAACCGTAGTCTTATAGATTCCTATAAAAATTTGGAATAAAATAAAAAAACAGGTTTGATAACTATTGAATTAAAAAACATTAGTTAAATTTTTTTTGTTTCAGGTTTCTCTAGGACATTTTGACTGAGCATTAATATAAAGTGGTGATCAGAGTAGTTTTTAATAATTCCATTTATTAAAGTAATACAGAAATATTTTTTCCTAATGTCATCATACATATTATACAATTTTTTGTAAACAGAAAACTGTTAAGTAACTTTAAAATTGAAATTTACATTTTTTTACCTGACTTAAACCCTTTTTGGGAATCGATTAGAAACTTTTATTGTTCAATTAATTCCATAAAACCTATTAAGTAAGGTTTTTTTTTATTTTTACAATAGTCAAACAATCAATGCATTTGATGATAAATATCAGAAATACATATTTTCTGACTTTTTTCTTATAAAAATGAACATCAAATTACTAAAATTTAGCAAGGTTTATCATTAGTCGAGCCTATTCTAAACTATAAGAAGTTTTTTTACTCTTGTATAATATGTCGTAAGATGAAATATTTTATTGGTGTTTTTATTGTTTTTACAAAACAAAGATATTTTAAATATTTCAAAAGTTGCAAATGTTTTAGTAACACCCCTCAAGTCAATATTTTCACAAAATAACAAGAAGCCGTAATGCTCGGTTTGAAACAGCCTTTGCTTTTTTGTTTTTAAATACATCTGTTTAATTATAAAAGTGCTCCTAGAAGCTTTGCTTATCACAGAGTGCCGTCCCGCCTTCCTTACCATTGTTACTTATAGATATTTTAATGAGAGTATACTCATAAGAACAAGCCTACCGCATTTGATGAGTTTATTCAAAAAAAAGTTCAAGAAGTGAAGTATCACGGAGGAATAAAAACTGTTCTTAGCCAATAAGCTCCTGTTTTTTACTACTTAAATCTTTTGAAAATTGAACGTATAAAAACAGTAATATACTATTTTTATTAGTCTAGGTGATCAATATTGTAGCAAAATAAAAAATACCAAAAAAAAAATTGGTATTTTTTTTTTGGTATAAAAGTGCGCATAAAAGTTATTGATGCAATAACTTTTATGCGCATTCTTGAAATACCTAAAAACTATATTAAATTATAAATTAATTAAGTGACACTTAAGCTAATTAATAATAGTTAAGATGAATAAATGATTTGATTTAAAATAGTTCTAGGTAGGAGACTATAGAGAAGCGCAAAGATTCCATTAAAGTCTGTGCCCAACTAGCCCCAGTATCCTCAATGAAATGTAACTATAAAAATGGCCAGGACAAAATTATTTTATAAATTAATCTAAAATTTTAATAAAAAATATTTTTAGTTACCATTTTATATTTGTGTGGAGATAAAACATCTCATTTCACAAGTTATATGACTAAAGAAATATAAAAAAAAAAGTTATTGCCCTAATGTTGCAACAAAAAAAACTGTAATTTTAAAATAAACTTTGATTTTTTATGCTCTAATTAAATTTTTTATAATTATTTCTTGCATTTTCATAGAGAGGAACAAGATTACACAAAAATAAACTCTTACTACTAAATATTTTTGAAACTTATAAAATGCATGAAATACAAACAAACCCAGCAAAATTTTCACCTCAGTTTTATTACTCTGCCGTTGAAAAAATTGAAAAAGTAAGTTTAATAGTAGTAACAGGCTATTCTAAGTGAAAAATGAGGGAAAACAAAGGAACTTGAAAATAATAAGAGGGATTTACCATTGAATTTAGCTACAATTATTCCCTTTTTTGTTTCTTTTGATTTTCGAAGGAGAAACGGCAAAAGCCCTAATGTTACAAAACAGTACTTACATTGTGCCGTGGTGCTTAAAATTTACCTAAAAAACTTTTTAAATAAAACTGAATTTTATTTATTACATTTAAATATCTTAAATCTGAATAAAAAAATCATTTTTTTCAAAAAAAAATTTTCTAGCCTGACGGTTTTGACCCGAAAAGTTTATGAAACATTAGGGCTATTACGCTGAAGATTTTACGTTTATAGTAGTAGTAGTAGTAGTAGTAGTAGTAGTAGTTGTAGTAGTAGTAGAGTGTTTTGTTATAAACAAGAGGAGTGGAGTTCAAATATTGACAAATTTCTGGTAGTATTGCGTAGAATTTGTTTATTATCTTTAATTTGTTTTGTTTTATCAGTGACGACTTTAAATGTTATGCAAATATGTTTAAAGATAAGTTTTTGAATAATTGAGACAACACGAATAATTTTTAGACATTACTTGTATTTAATTGTATTTCAAGTGTTATGTAAATATGTTTGTTACTGAGTTATGTTGCAATAACCTAATTCATTATTTTCAGACACTATTGATTGTATTCAAACTTGCATTTGGAAAAGCAGTACTTGCATAAATGAAGTGTGCTTCATATGTACATGTGAGTCTGGATGGAGATTGGATAAAGATAATTACACCTGTGTTGGTAAATGCCTTATGTATTTTTTAAATATAACAAATAAATAAACAGAATGACTACACTAAAAAAAATATCTGTTGTATACAATGGTCAGGGTAATAGATTAATTCGTTGTTACTGCAAAAATTGATTGTTCATAAAGTTAGCATAATTAAAATTTTAATAGATTAAATTTCAATGATATCAGTTAGGTAAAAGATAATATTAGTTAGTTAAAAATTAAAATTCATTACGTAACTATAATGGACATTCAGCTGAATTAACGGAGTTAATAGGCAAGTACTCTTGAGTCCCTAATACACAAAAGGGGAAAAAAAGAGGAATTTGGGACGCTTATTAATTTTTGGAAAAATTTACCACCCTCCTCAACCTTATTTAGACCACCCCCTCCCCCAGTTATTAAATGAAAAATATTGTTTCACTTAACATTAGTAATTTGTATAGTTTCTTGAAACGATTGTCATCTCAATATTAAGTATTCAGTTAAAATAGCTGTGCACTAGAGTTAAAAACGTTATTTTTATCTAATTAACATAAGCAGTTTTTAAAATGATTTTAATGAGCAATGAAATAAGACTTTTTTTTTTTAACGTCGTTAACTTCAAAGATTGAAAGTCTTATTTTGTATTATCTAAAACTGTTTTACGTAACTAACTACGTTTCATTTTTTTTTTTTTTTTTTTTTATTCAATCTTTTAATTTAATTTATTCATTGCAAAATCATTGCAATGAATAAATTTTTTTTAGATAAAGTTAAAATTATTAGTAGCGCATCAGCACATTTGTTTTTCTAATATTAAAAGAATCAGACAAAGCATATACTTAAAAATATAATTTTTGTAATAACTTTGTTTTATGTACACAGAAAAATCAAAAATTCTTATTAAAGCAAAATAAGTTTTAAAACAAGAAAAAAATGACTTATTCGCCAAAACTTAGTCGTAAGAGTATTTTTTCTTTTTTCGAGAATTTTTAATCTTAAAATGTGAATTTTTTTTTTCTTTTTTTAAGAACTTTTTTCCTAAATATTTTTATTTCCTTGTTTTAAGAATTTTTACTCTTAAAACAAGAAAAGTTGATCAGACGTGTTGAACAGGAGTATGCTGCCATTACGCACGAAGAGTGTTTTCGCCTAGCAGAAAGCCTTCCAGGGAGAATTACCCAATGCATAGAAAGAAATGGACAAAATACTGATTACTGAATATTAACATATATTCTTTGTCTAATTAAATTGATATGACAGTAATAAAATGGTATGTGTTGAAATACCGTATTCTTAAACCGAGATATAAGGGGTCAGAAATTAAGTATACACCCTGTATATACTTAAGTGTTTTCAAAAAATCGTACAAACTTACAGCTTTTTCTTAAACAAGATGTCCAGTTTTAGTCTTTTGAATGTAATTTCAGCAAGTACTTTATTAATTGTTTAAATTTTGTATCTAAAATTACATTCCTTATTTAATTAATAATTGATTTCAACACATTATTGTACCTAACTCTAACCCTAACCAAGCAAAAACATAAAAATGCCTGAGGTTGACAATTATATGTTTTTGCTGACCTCGATTTTATCTTTTATAGTACAACCTTTGTAAAAATGGCTTTATGTTTGACCAATTATAATCTGATGCCAACCTAATACAATATAAAGTCGAAAATTTATTACTTACTTTAGTTAAGTTAATTTTGAGGGTTGTGTATGCATGCATACTTACCTGTATTTGGGTGGCAATGGGCGAGGAACTGCAAACTTGTGTATTCCATAATGCAAAAGTGTAGCTATGTCTTCATTCTTGCTGATTCAACTGTGACAGAAGACGTTAATATATTATCTATGTCGCCAACAATCTGAATTAAATAATAATAATAATAATAATAATAATAACAAAAAAAGCCTATAACTTTATAAAGCAGAAAAAACTTTTACATTAGAGACATGGCAGTTTTGAAAACCTTCTTACTTAAAAAAGATTTGTGATTTTAACACTTTTAAATTTTATCCAATATATATATGAAATCACAAACGAAAAAAAAACCTTTAGTAATAGCACATTAGGGAAACATAAATATTTGTCTAAAATTAATACAACTCTATCAACTCTCTCAACTGGAAATTTATTGAGCCAGGTTATTAAATTAAAATTCTATACTTACATCAATTAAAATAAGGATAAAAATTGTAAAAAATAAATCTAATTAACAATATTAAATTTACTAATTGAAAAGTATTGTTTTCTTTACCTACTTTACTTTGCATGTATTTGGAAACTTGCAACTGCTTAAAAGAAAACACACACATAAATGTTATATATGTGTATGTATGCAACATACACATGGTTATTTAGAAGTAGTACTAATGATAATCTTAAGCAAAAACCAATTATATAGCAACAGCAATAACAATATTAAAAAAACTACAATGAGGTAAGCAATGTTAAAAGTTATACTAATATTACTATAATGATAACAGAAATAATAATATTGATATATATTAAATTTAATATTAAACAATTACATTAAGTAAATGTGATATGAATAGAAGTAAAATAATGTAGATATTTTTATTACTAATAATCATACCAAAAGCAATAAAAGTAACCCACAATGAGCGTAACATTTTACGAACAGTAATTACATTTCTCCAAAATAAAAAGACAAAGTTTTAGTGTATAGTTTAGTGATATAAAGTAAATATAAAAAAAAAAATTATTTTATAAATAAAAAATGATAAATTATTTTTTTCATTTTATGCATTGGTTTGTGATGTAGTTTGTTATGCTGTATTAATGCTGAACAATGATTTAGAATATATAATTTAAGGTTGCTAAATCAACTCGTTTCTCCGCGCAGCGGCCTTGATCATCAAGGTTCGTGTTTCGGAGTTATAGAGTTGAGAGAGGGTTATAGCCACAAATAAGTAGCCTCCTCGTCTGTAGTGGCCTTCTCGGCCTTGAGGAGGTGAATTAAGAATTAAGTGGATTAAGATAAAAAAAAAATGATAGAAGATAATATTGAGAGTTTTTTATAGAAATAAAGAAATTACAGATTAAAAAAGGTCGGGCAACTTGTGTGTGATTTCAAACAAATAAACAATTTAATAGATGAACAAGAGCACACAATTTGATAATTTTAGATTAAAAAAAAAAAAGAATAATAAAATTAGAATGATATTCTTGAAAATAAATTAGGGGAGGGGGGGAGGGGAGGAGGAAGTGGCAGAGTCTTTAGCCACACAAAAACTCCTTGATCCATCGCTCAGCAGTTTATACATTTTTTTAAATTCATAAATAAGTGCACAACTTTGGAGCGCTTCAAACTAAATCGCACTTATGCATGCTTGCACCCAGGGTCCGATCTAGAACAACACGAACTATAGGCACAACACAACTTAGTCAAAAAAATATGCGAACGAATAAATATTTTCTCATTTATCAAACCCTGAGGGATGAAAGTTTGAGTTGACCTATGACCAGCTACCCAGAAATTAACCCGGGTAGATAGCTTTTGAAATCAGATGTCGTGGCCATTAAGAAGATTATCTGTATAAAAATTTTTTAAATGTATTACATTTAGAAAAAAAAATTCTTTTATTTAAAATATTTTATTTCAGAAAAAATACAGTTAAAAAAGCATTGTTTTTCTTTACTTGTTTTTAAAATAGCACGGATTTCACTCCGAGCACTTTTATTATCATATTGTAAAATGTAATCAAAAATATTGAAGTTTTGCAATTTAAATAACTTTTTGGAAATAAATGATAAATTAGTTATATTTATTGCTCATTTAACATTTCTCTACATTTCAAAAGTTTGAACTAGAATTTAATTTTCTATGGTAATGTTATTTTTTATTAAAAAAAGTTAGCCTAACTTGAAAAATAGGACATGTTGTGCAGGACATGTCCTCTTTTTCAAGTTAGAGGTTCATATGTTAGTTCACTAAACTAAAGTTTTAAGTACTTCTTTGGTTACAAGAAACATTTAAGAAAGTATGAAATAAATTTAGACAGTTAAAACTTACATGTATTACATGATCATCATCAAAAGTATACTAATTTGGATACATAATGAATCCAAATTAGTATATTTTTTTCATTGATTTTTCTTACATATATTGATTCAGAACCTCTTTAAAATTAAGACTTTTTGTCTTTTCGCTTTTGTCATAATTTTAATTGTAATTAAAATTATGAACATTTGGTCCATTCGTTTATAAACGTTTATTCGTATAAATATAATATATTCGTACATTTGTATAAATATATTATAAAACGTATATTCGTTTATAAATGAATTAATTAATTCAGAAATGCAACAGAACATAATGTTTTTGAAATTTTGTGTAAAACATAGAGGTATATTTAAAAACGCCAAAAGGCGTACTTCGGATCTAGCGAGAGCGCCGAAAGGCGTACTTCGGAGCGGAAATGTTAAATCCAAACAAATCGTCTTAAAATCATTTCAGTTCTTTTTTACCTAAATTTTTTTTAAATAAAATAAATTTTTTTAAATTATACTGTTACGTCAGAAAAGTTCTGATGGGCTAAAAAATTAAAATAAGGCCCAAAATATTTGGGGCCCTTGGCCCGGGCTTTACTTGCCATTTGGAAAATCAGGCTCTGCTTGCACTTATATTATTACCTTACACTTATATTATTCTGCTACTACGTCGTGTTTAGATTTATGCAGCTGTTTAGATTTATGCAGATTTGCAGTTATGAATATTGCATTTATTAAAGGCGATTTCAATAAAATTTTTGTAGTATACGACTCTTTTTGGTTTATGTTTTAGTCTTAATGGCGACCAAATGGATTAGACTATTTCATTACATAATATCATGAACACAAGGTCTATCAGAGGGAGGGGATGATTTTAGGAAGGGGAAATTCATTGGCTTTAATTTTTCTGAAATCTTTAATTGTTTTTAGGTATACATGCAGGTATCTATTGATATATATATATATATATATATATATATATATATATATATATATATATATATA